GATAAATGCAAGGTTCTCCACCTTGGGGGGAAAAAAACCCACCGCATCCTTATAGGCTCAGCAGTGCTATGTTGGCTAGCACTATGGAAGAAAGAGACTTGGGGGTCATCATTGACCACGAGATGAACATGAGCCTGCAATGCGATGCGGCGGCTAGTAAAGCGACCAAAACGCTGGCTTTCATCCATAGATGCTTCTCAAGCAAATCCCGGGACGTCATTCTCCCCCTGTACTCGGCCTTAGTGAGGCCGCAGCTGGAGTACTGTGTCCAGTTTTGGGCTCCACAATTCAAAAAGGATGTGGAGAAGCTTGAGAGAGTCCAGAGAAGAGCCACGCGCATGATCAGAGGTCAGGGAAGCAGACCCTACGATGACAGGCTGAGAGCCCTGGGGCTCTTTAGCCTGAAAAAGTGCAGGCTCAGGGGTGATCTGATGGCTTATCTTGCTGGGATCCTGTGACCCCAGCTGACTTCCTGCCCTTTGGGCGGGGGGCTGGACTCGATGATCTTCCGAGGTCCCTTCCAGCCCTGATGTCTATGAAATGTACACCAGCCCTTTCACTCCAGAACCCAGCTTGGCCTCAGGCTAGGAAAATCAGCATGTTCAGGGTCTGCCCTGGGAAGTGTGAAAAGGAAAGAAGATGGGAGAGACAAGGAAGGAAAGAGCCCCTGGCTGGGCAGGAGCAGAAGCACAGACCACAAGAAAGAGCCTGGGGGTGTTGCCAGGGAAGTAACTTGGAGCAGCACTTGCCTTGACTGGGTGCGGGCATTTCTGATATTTGGCCCTGTCTAAACCAGGCAGCCTGTCCCAGAGCCCCCAGAACATAAAGGTCACAGGATACCTAGGAAGCTTGGATCACTTCATACGACTCAGGATGATGAAACCCTGCAAGAGCCCTGTGCACATGGTGCCATGGGGGCAGTGGTGGCCCCACTGGGCAGACACTAAGCACTGAAGCCACAATGCCAGCTCTGAGTAAGATCTTTCTGTCTGTCCTAGGCCAAGACATGCAGGAGGCAGAGGGGCTGCTCCATCTAAGCCAGGAACAGCAGAGCCAGGTCCAGAGCTACATGGACCTGGCCCAAGTCGGGGTGGTAAGGATGCTCTGCATAGCTCTAGCAAAGCTTAGGGTGTGGGGCTGTGTGTCCTTGGACTGGCTGTCCTGGGTTGTGGAGAAAGGCCTGCTGCTTCTGTGCAGCTCACAAGGTTCCCAATACTGCCCTGGTGAGGGGCTGGCCTGGACATGGAGCCTGGCTCTGGGATATGCAAACACTTTCTGTCCCCTGGGTTTCAGGTGTTTCGAAAAATATTATCAGAGGGGCAAAGGAGCTGTTTCGTGCAGAGGGCACTTGCGGCGATGCTGGACATCAACATGTGTGTCAGCCGTGCTGCGCTGATCCTCCTCTACACCATCCTGGGGGAAGCCAGCCACCTGATCGGGGACAAGGTAAGCAGAGGGTCGGGTTCAGGGTGTGGGTGGAGGGACACAGGACCGCTCACCTCTAGGCCACTTCATCCCATTGACACTTAGTGGCCTGGGGAAACAAGTGTAAAAGGAAATGGGAACCCTGGCAAGTGCTTTTGAGAGAGGAGTTTGTTCAGCTGTATGCTCGGGATGGCACCAGCCTGTCCCCTGCACAAATACGGCCCCTTCAGCTGCGTATCTCCAGCCAGGACCTATGACAACATGTACAACTTGTGGCGGGCCAGTAGGGGGCGCTCCTGCGTTGAGCCGCCCACCTCCCTGCCCAGGTCACTGCAAGTGGACCAGGGCAATGGAGTCATAGAAGAATAAACCCCTCAGGCACTCATCTAGGTTGACCCCTGCTCCAAGAAGGATCGTCCCCATCTCAAGCAGCCTAAAAGAGTCTGTCTTAGAAGTTGTGCTTGATCCATCTCTTAGAGACGGGGAGGGGCTGGGTAAACTCTTCTGCTTCCTGATGCTGTGACACTCCTGTGGCTGCCACCTCCCAGAGGGAAAAGAGTCTCTCACTGGCCCTTGTGTCTTCACAGGAGGAAGAAATCCCCGCCAGGATCATGAGGAAGCTGCTGGTCATGAAGGGCTTCAAACAGCTGCCCAGAGAGCTGCAGGGCCACAGCCTGCTGGCAGGCTCCTCCAGCACCCCTCCCCTGTGCAGCAGCCCAAGGTCCCTTCTGCAGGTACCGTTCCCTCTCCTCTGCCCCTGCGGATCAGGGACCTGTGAAAAGAAAGATGGAGACTCATGGCACCAACACAAACCTTCTCCCTTTGGTGTGTGGGGAGTTGTCCCCTCTGTCCCCAAAGACACCTGGCCTGGAATCAGCTCTCCACTGGGCCCTATTCCCTTCTCCTCCTGCCATTGCCAGGACCTATTTCTTCCCCCCATGCTCTACACACCAGGCAGTTCATCTCCCCATGGATGAACAGGGCTAGAAAACAGGTCTCCCACATCCTAAATGACTGCTGTAACCATTTAGGTGTTTGACTATGCCTCAAGCACAAGGCAGCCATACAGCCCATCACCATTAAGTCTTCTGTTTAGAAGACTTAAATTCACCAACATGCATATCTGATCACCTTCTGCTTTTTCTTGCCCCTTATGATGACAGCTTCAACCAACAGCGAGGCTGACAGCACCTCCCTGAGCAAATGCAACATCCAGAGCCTCACAGGCAGCAAGATGGCCACAGAGGGAACCTCCAGTCTGGAATCGGCCACCACGCTAGGGTCATCAACTGATGTGAACACCCCCTGAATCAGTCAGAGCTAGCCTTCACCCGGAGAGATTTCAACATCAGCCCAGACTTGAGAAGTTCCCAGTGGGTGGAGACTTTCGATTACTCTTCCACCCACTTTGCCCATCAAAGTGTTGGGGGCAAGGAACGGGAGTCATGAATTTCCGGTCCCTCAGTTGTGGGAACAAGGTAGCTCTTGCAGTGTGTGTGGCATTTTGCAATCCCAGGCCTCAGGGCTTTTGCCAGTTGCCAGTTGGGGCCAGGAAGGAATTTTCCCCCGCCCCGGTTTCACTTGAAGATCATACTGGCTGTGGGGGTTTTTTCGCCTTCCTCTGAGGCATTGGGGCACAGTGAGAACACAGCGGTGTCAGTTCTCCAAACAGCAGGACTTACTACACCTGGCCAAACGATTAATCCTCATCAGGTGGAGCAGGGAGAGAGAAACAGCAAATGCCATGTCCTATCCATCATGTTAAATTATTGTACAATAATAAAGTAAATTTTTCTTTCCTTTTCTGATAACTGTTGATTGCTTTTCTATTTACTGGACGTAAGTAGAGCCACTGACCTACTGAGAACAAAGGAACTTCTTGCCACTGCTGGTCTGCCTGTGTCTTTTTATGGGCAGTCTTAGCAGCCTTTAGGTTGGCTTGGACTTGGTGAATGGTCTTGAGGAGCTTTAGTGCCACAGTAACCAGTCAGGAGGAAGGTGCTGTGTGGTGGAAACAGAAGAAGCCCATCAGTACCAAAAAACAAGAGAATTAACTCCCATTGAGGACTAATAATCCTGATAACTCCAAAAGCATTTTAGTTACTGCTTTAGGATCTGGTTTACTCATTCTGATTGATCGTCTGCTTGGGTGTTGGAGGGCAGTGTGCTGGTTAAAGGTGGAGGCAATCACCTAAGAAGTGGTCACCCTTAGCTAAACATGGGGGTGTGCTAGGACCCATTATAAGAACTGATATCATCGTGAAAATGATGTCATCAAAAGACATGCAGAGCAGAAGGGAGGCTGTAGTCTCTGCAAGTGAAAGCTGGGCTCAGGGTGGGAAGAGGGCAATCTTTGTGAAT